CCTCCCGCGCCGCGGTGCGTCATGTGCAGACTCGGTTTGCCGACAAAAGCCAAAAAAAATAAAAAACAATCGCCCTTTCCCTTGGAGATCCGCCCAGTATTGCCGGTTTTTCGTAACTATTGCGAGCTGGAGGTGCCGGCCTCGTTAGGAGAATGCTGACAGCTCTTATTTCGGACCCTAGAAAATCACCGCCGAGATGGCCGCGTTCCTGCAGGAGCTGCGCCAGAGGGTGAGAGTTGGGGTCGTGGGTGGCTCGGACTTCGAGAAGATCCAGGAGCAGCTCGGCGATGACGGTAAGGGCGGCCGGGCCGCGCACCGGGAAGTTGTGGGTGGAACCACAGAAGGGGTTGGGCTCTTCAAGGCCATCGGTTCCCACCTTTTCCCAGCCCCACAACTTTAACACTTTAACGTTAGGTCAGGTTCCGTCCCTGCCCTGCTTGCAGCTTGCTTCCCGTCTGCCTTGGGTTGCTCTCAGCCTGTGAAGAGCTGTTGGAGGGCGCTCAGTGCCTGCAACCCGCGTTTGCTCTTTACGGGTGTTTGGGTGTCTGTTACGGGTTGTTACCAGTGGTGAAGTGGTGACTTGGTGACAGTACCTTGGGGGGTGTCGTTGCACAGTGGGTGAGGTGGGCAGCAAGCACAGGTGCAGGCCGCTCCGTGGTCGAGTGCGTCCCTGCGGGGTCTGGCTTTGCTAGCCGAGGGCTCGGCGGTGCACAGATGGACTCTTGCCTGAGCCCTTAGAGAGCCATTTCCTGTTCCGCATGAACGACTGTCTTTACGTGGTCTTCATTTAATTGACACCCCCGAGAGCCTTCTGCAGAGCCCAAATAACGCAGCGTGTGTTTGGCTTACAAGTACAGGCCTTCGTTGTAGTAGGCTTCTCACAGCTCTAGGACATCTACCATAGATTAGTGACTGGAAAGCAAATGCAAAAGCAAATGCAGTTTGCTTCCTAGCTGGTCTGTGTGCCAGGTTTTTTAATATTTGAAGTGTTCCGTACACTTAATGCAAAGAGACGTATTTGCAGGAGAGGAAGAGCCTTTAAGCAAAGACAGAGCTGACAACTGAAAGACTTCTTGTGATTTGAGACACGTGTTCATCCTGGAGAAAAATGAGAGTGGCTTTGATCTTGTGCTCAGTGTTATGCCGCTGAATCTTTGATGCTGTAAGATCTAATGCTTGCTGTAGTGTAACCTGCTCCATGTGTAAGACAATTCTGCAGTAAACATACAGGGGAAATTACTAGTAACTGTCTTTTTGTTTGTTGTAGTGGTTGAAAAATTTGACTACGTTTTTCCAGAAAATGGTCTTGTAGCATATAAAGATGGGAAATTCTTGAGCAAGCAGGTAAGTGTGACACTTCCAGTAATGTGAGAGAGAAATTTTCTAAACAAGATTTTTCTTCCTTGCTACAGTGCAGTTGTCTGTAATCACCCCTCTAACTAAGGCCAAAATTGCTGTTATTCTCATGTGCTACTCCTGTAACAGGTCATTCATGTCACAACAGTCTGTGCTTTAAGCTTTAGTCTCTGGGGTATTCTCTAAACCAAAAGCTACTGGAATCTGGAATGTGTGATTGAGTAAGAACAGTGAAAATCCTGCAACGGCCTTTCCTTCAGCTTATCCAGAGGAGATGTGGTGAAGCCTCCTGCTCCTGGAAGTCCTGTGGAATATGGCATTTCGGAGCTGATGTCTGTTGGGCCTTGAGGTTTACAAAGACTCTTACAGATCTTTTGTAACTGCTTTTAAGTCAGGGTGCACATTCTGCTGTGTTGCGGAAGTTAGAAGGTAAATAGCTAAATTAATAGAAATACACATCTGATTATAGACACCCTAATCACCTTCATCGGTTCTTAAAAGAGATCCAGGCTGAAATTGGTGATTTGAGCGGTGCTTTCCCATTTACTGCAGTAAAAAAATCTCCATTTCTTTGCACTTGACTAGAGTAGGTGTTAACACAACTTCTTGTTTAAGTCTGCTGTCTTTGGCCCACAGTTTCCTTCCAAAGCAGGTACTAGTAGAGAGCATATTAAATGAGAGGTTGGTGTTAGTGTTTTTACAAAAATTAAGAACCTTTAGTTAGTACCACACGTGCATCAACTGTGAGTTACTGATGGAAGGCAGGTTCCTCTGTGGTATTAACCATGCCTCATTATCCAGTGTCTGTGTCTTCCATGTGACTTGGTTTTAGAATCTCAAATTCTGGTGTTTATTTTTGTTAGAACATTCAGGGTCACCTAGGCGAGGACGTACTTCAAGATCTCATCAACTACTGCCTGAGTTACATCGCAAAGATCAAACTGCCGAAGAAGAGGTATGTGCGTCCCTGCGTCTCGCGGTCTCTGTGTTCCAGGGTTGAGCATCAATATGTGAAGCAGACTGCTCAGCAAAGAAACAAGTAGTTTAGGAGCACTCGAGATGTGAAACAGAGCTCAATCCATGCAGAGAAAGACAAGCTCCCAGCTGGAGCATGGGATTTGAAATACTGATTCAGCTTTTTATTTAAGAGGGAAGTTCAGTTTTCAGTTAAGCAAGAGTTAATTCCTTGACACGTTTGGAATTCAGCAGCATAATGCTCTCCAGAGATCAGAAGCTGCAGTCAGAGCAGTTCTGTGTGACCTGAGGGTGCCGCTGCTCACGACATGAGTAGTGCCAGGTGAGGCTGGCTAGGGACACTGCCAGGGGGGCTCTAAAGGGCCTGTCAGGGTCTGAGAACTGGGCTGACAGGATGCTCCAGTCGTGCTTTTAAACCCAAATCGAACTTCTAAAAGTCAGTAAAGGTCATGCTGAGGTTGCCAGATGGAAATAAAAGTCCAAGAGACTCCTTGATGCCAGAGGCTTGGGGTTTCATGAATACAGTGAGAGGCTGAAGGAGACACCTGATTCCCATTGTCTTAAGAATTCAACAGACATTGGTTGTGATATTCAGTATTTTGAGCAATTTTTCACCTATTTTCTGTCTCGCTGATCAATTCTTTTTCAGGGGCACGTTTATTGAGTTCCGAAACGGGATGATAAATGTGTCCCCCATTGGAAGAAGCTGCAGCCAGGAAGAACGAGTTGAGTTCTATGAACTTGATAAAGTGAGTTACAACTCTTGAAAAATACCCAACTCTTCTGGAAGAGGCAGTTATGGCCAGGTTATGATTTTTTTAAAAGCTTTTATACTTTGTGCAATTTTTTTTTCATTTTAATTCTTTCCGTGTGGTTTAACTAAACTGGTTCAGGCTTCAGGAAATGTACAACAGGTTTTTTTCTTGCAATGATTAACAGTGATTCCTTGCAGAAGGGATGGGTTTGGCTCAGAAAGGTACTCAGACCTTTGGATAGTTTGGGGGTGGTTTTCTGCGTTATCTTTTTAATTATTACCACAACATGCAGCTGATGTTTGGCTTTGGTTTGGTTGTGTTTTTTTGTAGAAGGAACATATAAGAGAAAAATTTGTAGCTGACTTACGGAGAGAATTTGCAGGAAAAGGCCTCACGTTTTCTATAGGTACCACATTAAAAGAATTTCATTTTAAGCATTTAAATTGCACTTTAGTCATATCCTCTTATGACTATGACATGTCCTATCTCATCTGTGTGACAGTTATCTGTGACAGTGATCTCTCTGGGGGTGGTTACAGGCATTGCATGTAAGACTAAGCCTCTTTTTTCATCTTGGGCTTTCATTTGGTACATTTTAATTGAAATCCATCCACAAAGAGAAAGTCATTGCTTGTCATCGGTTCATTGTCTTTTAATGTCAGTTGTGTGACTGATTCTGCTCATTTTAAACATATTACCTGCTTCTGGTTAGTCAGAGGTGTTTCTGCAAATCCCTTTTGATCAGAAGTAATACAGCAGTACTATCGCAGTAGCCCTTGGTTCTTCAGCTCTGTAGCTGCCTTGTGTGGGACAAAGGAAAGAAAATCCAAAAGCAAGTGCAAGCTTAGAAGTGGTAATAAGGGGGAATTGATTTTCCACGCATATTTCCTTGTTTCCCCTCTGCCCCAATATATTACGCATTCTTGCCTTTTTGCTGTTGTTCAGCACTCTTTAAAAGGCTGGTTGGCATTGCTGCTGTGGCACTGGAACAGGAAGGCAGAAAGGCAGTGCAGTGTAGCTCTCCTGAAGCACATTGTTAGTACCTCTTTGACATCCACTTCAACTTGGAATCATGCTTTTATGTATTGGTAAAGTTCAAGGATTTGGAACAGTTGTCCTGTGACACTGGGCTAAGAAAGGCCGATTCCCTCCTTTTCTATTCCGAAGGCTTTAGAAAGTCCTTTGCAATATGGCTTTATGGCTGTACATACACCAAGGGCTGTATTCATTCATGTAGGTTATTCAGAAAAAAGTAAAAATATTAAATGTAAGTTTTAAAAAAAATTTAGTTTGAGAGCAGTGCATATTTGGGAACACGCTAAGGCATTCATATTTGTTTAATGGGTGAATAATAATCTGAAAATCACAACTGTAGTAACTGATACCCTATAAAACATTTTCTGTGCTTCTAACACTTAACTCCAGGGTCTTATAACATGCCTGTGACCTCTGCAAAGCTCCTTCTGCCAAAAATCTTACCCAAGTTTTTCTCACTGACTCTTCCCTCAGAAATGTGTTCTTATAGTAACATTTGCTGGGTTCCTGTCTGTCCTAGGAGGCCAGATAAGCTTTGACGTGTTCCCAGATGGCTGGGATAAGAGGTACTGCCTGGGAATCGTTGCCAACGATGGATACAAGACCATTTATTTCTTTGGAGATAAGACTATGCCAGTGAGTACCTTGTTCTCTGTGTACATTTCAGAGCTTCTGTTTTAAGCCATAAGCACCAATTCTCACCTGACAAGAACTGAAGTGCAAACACAAATCCGTGTGTCTGTGCAGCTGATCAGCGTAACGCTGGGAGAAGCTGTGAGCACAGACTTTCCTTCTGTTTCCTGAAGTGAACGCAGGGTTCTCGACAGGCTTTAACAGAGTGTGTTTTTAAACTGAACTTGGATGATTATGTTCAAAACCTAGGTGACACGACTATGTAAAAGTGATTTTTCCTCTTTGGTTAGTGTAGATTGATGCTTCTTATTGGCTACTATTTATTAAACATATTTATTTTCCATTGAACTTAATACTGCTCCTTTGCTAACCACTTTGTCTCCCCACTGAGGAACTGAAACGATACGTAATGCCCGTCCCCAGTCACTTGGCATTGCTCAAGAGAGCCTGCAGAGCTCTGCGGGGTCAGTCAGGCTTTGGGAAGCACCGAGCAGAGACCTGACCAGAGCTAGCGAGGACACTGGCAGGCACAAGCAAAGCTGCCCAGACATGGCCAAGGGACAGGGTCAGGCTAAGTTTTATAAGAAAGGACTTAGTTTTATAAGAACTTGCAGCTTTCTGGAAGACATCTCAGCCATGAATATGTTATGTCCCTTCTTTCCATACTTGCCTTTCCTTTTCTACCCCACGACTGTGACTATATGTTAAGCTAAATAAAACTAAATTGTCTTCTGCTATTTTCTCCTGTTTTGTTTTCAGGGAGGGAATGACTATGAAATTTTCACAGACTCCAGAACAAAAGGCCACAGCGTCACATCCCCACAGGATACAAAAAGAATCTGTGAAGAGCTGTTTTTCAAGTAAAAGACTTACTCAGAACTCAAAAAACGGTTAAGACAGCTTAACAACTGCAAACATCTTCATTGCATATATTTTTTTTTTGTAACTGATCAGGAATAGCAAGTGCTTTGCAGGTCAGTCACTACTGAAGGAAAATGTTTTACTTGAAGAGAACTTTGCTGACCAGTGGAATTCAGCAGAGCTCATTCAGCACCATCTTTTCACCGGTTCCATTTGCACGAGTACTTCGGGGGTTTTGTTTGTTTGTTTTTTATTTTTTCTTTCCGGCTTTTGAGTCTGTTAACTTCCTTAGCTAATTAATTACATTTTAGAGAGGAGGGATAATCTGACTACAGTTGATTTGCAGTCTCAAAATTCGGCCTGTGAGGTTTTATCCCTGGTTTTTATTTTGAAACTGCTATTGAAAAGATGAATGTTTTTAGCTGTTTCCTTAAAATACTGCCTTGTGCTATAAAGACATGAATTATGAGAGCTGAGCCAGAAATCCCTGACCTGACACCCGTTCCAGTGTGTCATCGAGGGCAGCACCACTGGAAAGGCTGGACCAGCCGGCGCTGAAGTTGCCTCCTCGGTCCCGTTGCAGTGCCGAGGCACAGTACAGTTCACAGTACCTATGCTTTTTGCAGGTTTGTTTTTAAATCTAAAAATAAAAAAATAATAATGAAAGTTAATTATAACAACCTGAGCAAAATTTATTTGTCACTAATTACATTTCTGATTTTCCTAGTGAGATTTTAGGACTAAAAAAATGATCTAAACTATGTTTCTAGTGAAATTCAAGTTGGAACATGGCAATCAGTGTAACTGTTCACTTTTCTCATCTGGCATTAGAAAAGTAATCTTGTGCATGAACAGTTTATTTCGTAAAGGACAATAAAATCTCATTTTATCATAAAAAAATTACTTCAGTTTGTCATTTTGGCAAATGAAATATGTAAAGCAGACCTGTTGTACACTGCCTGTAAACAGACAAATGACTGACTTGACTCTTTCTGACTTGATGTGATATTTATGCTGTAAAAAAAAGGGAAAACACAACCTTTGTGTCCAAACAAAACTCCTCAAAAGAGCTTACAAAAAAAAAAAAAAAAAGGAGGGAGAGCTGTGATACTTTAAACCTATCTCCTAACACCTTTCTCACCTGCCTCCTTCCATGGGGTAATTCAGGCTCAACCCCTTTGGCAGGAGCAGCCGTTGGTGCAGAACCACCCATAGCACAAGAGGGCTCTTTAGCTAATTTTTAACAGCTGGTGCTCTGTGTGTGCCTGCGCCGGATTTATCTGATTATTCGGTTACTTTGCCGCACGGTTGTTTCCCATATTTGCAGAAAGTCACCTGTGCAGAAGCTCCTGGGCAGCCCCAAACCCACATTTGTTTTCAGCCTCAAATGGCAGCGTCTGTGGGCACGTACCGGTGCATGTTCCGAGCCGAAAAGCTTGTTAGTCAGTCCCGCGCAGCCGCTGCCCATAGCTGAGGTTTATCTTCAGCCTCTCATGGCAGCAGGTGAGAAGCAAACATTCTGTCTGTCGTAGGGGAGAAAAAAAACAGGAAACAAAGCAAAGCAACCCCCAGTGCCTACTGCCTTGCTTCCGTCTTACTTTCTCTAGGGGGAGTTTGAACAAAGGAGGCAGTAATGTCAGTCATTCAGCTGATACCAGTTGAGATTAAAAGTTTTTTTAAAACAACTGTAAATATCATTGTACAGGTGTGCAGGCATCTGCATTCTCCTTGGTCTTCAACACTAATTACCTTCAACATGGACTGGGCAGGGAGCAGACTGAAGCCGTGTTAAAGCATTTCAGTGGTTGCATTGATTATAAAGGGAGCAGCGTGTGATACTCCAACAAACTGGAGAACGTTAAATCCACCACTACTAAGTCTTAGGTTAATAAAAAACAAACAAACCCCCCCAAACTCCAGTGAGGCTGGTCATTACCGTACACTCCAGTGCCACACAGGTACAGCTGAGGTGAAACAAGCCCTCGGAGCAGTTCCTGACCTCCGCACGTCTCTCCCCAGCTCAGACCTCGGCCCAGCTGCTGTGTCTTAAGACACCTCATGACAGCGAGCGCCCATTGTTAAAACTGCAGACAGGCAACTGGAGTGATACCGTGTCACACAACTAACAGGAGCATCGTGCCATCTTTTTTTTTTTTTTAAAGATTTTATTTGCAAAGTCAATAAAAATCCACTGTTAGGAACATAATAGAGAAAAAAGGCTTCATTTGAAAAAAAAGTACATGGAAGGCAAGTAGGAACAGAACTACTTTAGTTGCACTATAAGAAATCCTGCAGGCAGAGTCAGGGCAAGGGTGACCCTGTCACAGCCGACCAAGTTTTCCAGGGAAGCAGCTGCAGCAGCTACTTCCCCAAGCCAGCAGAGCCGATTAACTCACGCAGGATCGTACACCGACCAGCCCACAACTTGCTTTCCAGCAGTGCAGTCCCCCTGCCCGCCCAGGGAAACACACGGCAGACACGCAGCCAGATGCAACTCAGAAGGTATCTCCAGCTCTGCCCAAGCTCAGACACAGGCAGAGGCTCTGAAGCATCCACTGCTCTACAGCTTTCACCGCTTACCTTGAAGCAAATCTTTTAAATTTGGGGTTGTTTTTTTTGCGCTTTTTTGTTGCTGTTCTGTTGTCAGGGTTTGTTTTTTTTTTTAATACAGGCCTATAGAATTTGTTGCTAATCAACCATCAAGGGACCTAAGAAAAATTCACACCAGGCTTTAAAACCACAATATTCTACAGATATGCAGACGTGCTATTTGCATCTGAAGGGCAAGAACCACCAGGTGGAGATTTCTCACCCTGTGGCACCCTATGAACCTCCTTCCACAAGGAAAACAAACTACAGGAGCCAACACCTCTCTCTGGGCAAGGCGTTCAGGCCCTGTTCCCTGCAGTGAGTGTGCTCCGGCCCTTCGAGCAGGGAACGCAGAGCTCACACACCTCCCAGTCCTGCCTCTGCTACGCTGCCTGCCGGAGAAAACTCCTTCAGCCCCCTCCCGATTTCCCTGGCGTTTCCTGGAATCTGTTCACAAGATAATAAAGAAAAACCAAACCTCTCCTCCTCCAACAAGCACACAAACTAAGTCTCTTTAAAATACATTTTTTTGTAAATACATTACAGTATACTTTTTTTTAATTAGCATCTGAATTGCCTTTTTTTTTTTTCTTTTTTTAGGCCAGCTGTAAAAAAGGTAATTTTGGCCTGCTTCTGCTATATTGACAATGCACTATTTCCTCCCACGCAATACACAGAATATTCTGAGGACAGGTCCCCTGCAGCCAGTTGTCAGCAGTGCCCGTGCAGGCAGCGGCCGCGCTCCCCCTGGGTCACCTCAGGAGCTGACGACGTGCCCCGACCAGGTCTCGTGCTTGGTTCCGGGCGCCAGGTGGGTGATCACCACCTCCACCGCCTGGAGCTTCTCGTTCTTCGGAGGGATGGTGCACATCTTGTAGGTGACCTCGTCACCTGCCACAGGAACATACTCGCCTTCGATACTGTGGAGGGGAAGGTTTAGTAAATCGTAAATAATATAAACACTCTCACTCTTTTGCAGATTATTTAAATTTGTATCGCAGGGGCTCAAGATACTTCAGGGGGTTTTTGTATAAGCTTCATCATCCACCCACTCATAAGGTTGATTTTGGTTGTCTTGCAATAAAATCTTATGAAAACGCTATGACCACCACCCTTAAAAACCAGCCAATCAAGCAAAAAAAACCAAAGAAGAAACAACCCAACCAATTAAGCAAACAAAAAACCCAATAATAAACAAACACAAAAAAAGTCCACAATAATATTCCTTTAAAACAGCGAGTCTGGCTGCGGACAACATAGCTGTGAACCATCCACCAACCTCCTACCGGCTGGCACCCACTAGAGGGCAGGGCTGGCCACTTGGTCTGGGGGTTTTGTTTTTAAACTCGAAAGTCGATTTTTTAAAAAAAAATTTTTTTCTCCTTGCTTAAGCTATTGAAGTTTGTAGCGTTTGGGGTTTTTCTTCTCTTTTTCTTTCATTAAAGAAGGATTGTACCACGTCAGTCACCCATTTTACCTTTAGGTTACTTCACCACAAACTGTATTCAGTTTGTCCGTGGTATGGAAAAAGAAAAAAAAAAAAGAGCCCAGATAAGACACAGCGTCAAATATTTCAAAATTATTTTCTGTAAAACAAAAGAAAAAAGAAGAAAAGAAAAGTTCTGTGGTGCTGATAACATCACACCGCAGAAATCCCTCCAGCACCCAGCACTTGGGAAGATTTCCAAGCGTCCCTCGCTCCCGTCTGGCCTCTTCCAGCGGGGTGACTGTGTTTGTTATTGCATGCGAGTCCTTACCTGGCCACAGAGGGAAATGGCAAAAGGGCTGTCACCTTCTGCTCAGAACAGTGAACTAAAGAAACGGAGAAAGTGACAGCCTTCCCCGCCTCCAGCACTGCATTCAGGATCAGAGATTTTTAATAAAAATCCCAGCATGTGCTAGTGACGACAGGCAGAAACGCCTTCCAGCCCGCATCGCCACGGTTCTCTGAGAGCACAAAGCACACTTATTTATTTAAATACACCTGTCTGACCCCATGCTCAGGTTCCCCTTCTCTGACCATGTAGGTGCTGTATTTCTTCTTGTTTGAGGGGTTTTTTTCAGTGTTTCCCAGCAGCATTTGTATTTGTGAACACTAATTATAAATTCTCCTGGACACCTCATTGGTATGACTTGTTTGTGTATTGCTATCACACTAGCGGTAAGATTTGAGTTCAGGGAAAAATAAAAATAATTAAAAAATAATCTTCTAGGTCAGAAATTTGGCATGCATTATTGGGTTTGTTATTTGCCTTGACTGAGAGCTTACTAGGAGCACACTCACACCACCCAGAAAATTTTTCTGTTAGCTGCACAGATCTAAGATCTGAGCGATGCCCTTCATACCTACTCTCGTCTTGTGACCCATCATTGTTACGGCTTTTCTATTGCCGGAAGGACTGGCAGGACTGATAGGAGGTACATATGCTCGCCCTTACTGCCAGTTGAACTTCATGTCACAATCTGCTTCTACCCACAGTTCTGCAAAACCTCTTGAGCTTCATCTCCTCCACTGCCTCTTCCATACCTTTAAGGGCTGCCTCAGCTTCTCCTGCTCTCTGAGCCGGGCATCCAGCCGCGGCTTGGGGAGCTGGTGCATCAGGCTGTGGCTGAGCAGAAGCAGCCTGTGCTCAGGGATGAGCCAGGGTAAGCAGGCATAAAATCATAGCATCATAGAGCAATTCAGGTTGGAAAAGCCCCTTGGGATGATCGAGTCCAACCATTGACCCTACACTACAAGTTCACCCCTAAACCACATCACCCAACACCACATCTAAGCGACACTTGAACACATCCAGGGATGGCGACTCAACCCCCTCCCTAGGCAGTCTGTTCCAGGGTCTGACCACTCTTTCAGGATGCTAATTTTGACCCATAAATCATAATTTCTCCCATGGGAAATTTGGAAGAAAAGTCACTGTTCTCCAGCTGATTGAATCAATGTGATATTGAAAATGCTCCTGTATCTAAATACAGACCTAAACCTGCTACGAGACATTAAAGACATTCCCGAGGCCCGTGGCTTTAAACACGCATCCTTCAGGCTTTATTTCCCCAGGACAAACCCCTACTCCAGAGCTGCCTGTGGCTGCAGGTATCCGCTGAAGCCTTCAGAGCAGTGCTGGGGAAAAACGCAGTAAATTGAAGGCAGAAAAAATATTTACAGAAAAGATAAAGCCTCCTTCATCAGACCTGACCGCCCTTTCCTCCCTATGCAAGCTGATCCAGCTGACCTTTATCTGCTGCTGAAGTCTCCAGGACACCCTGTCAGCCCAGCCCCGGGTCACTGAGGACAGACCACGTTCACGCTCCCCCATCTAGGCTCTTGCTCTGGCTGCCCTCCTCAGTCACTGCCTTCATTTAGCCCCCGCCTCCCCCATTTCTAACAGGTTTACCCCAACTTCGAATAGTTAAAGACATCCCTGCTTGCTGCAGGGGGCAGGACTAGATACCTTTAAAGGTCCCTCCCATCCCAAAACATTCCACAATTCTGTGATTCCAGGCAAGGATGAGAAGATGCTACTTCTACTGTCTCAGAGCCTAACACATGGATGTGAAGCCCAAAGAAGAGACAGAGGAGAGGGTTAAACACAAGTAAAAATAGGAATGGCATATTAAAAAAGAAGACATCATCTTCCTCACCTGAATCTCTTGAATGGTCCCTTGTTGCCAAAAACCATATTGCTATTGAGCTCATACCACACTGCCACGAGCAGCAACTGAACACACCCCTTGCAGGGTGCCAGTCCCACCCGAGGAAGGCAATGCAGCACAGACAACTCATCCGTTCAAAGGAACACGGAACTAGCAAACAACGGTGAGCAGAAACATTTCCCAGCTGAGGTGTAACGAACGTAGATAATAGGAGCCAAAGTGTAAAGTCTGCTCTGACTTAACTACAGCTGAGCCACTGGAACAAGTCGTAATGAAACATCTTACTTCACGGGGCCTCAGCACTGGGACCAGCTGGGGCCCGTGTTCCAGGGAGCACAGCCAGAGGGTGACACGGAATTAAAGCAGCACCTCCCTCTAGACATGACGGCTGCCCACTCCACAGCCCCCAGTATCACCTTCGATTCCCGCACAGCGAGCGGTGAGCTCAGAGTCACCGCTCTGCAGGCATCAAACGGAACGGATGCCCTGCCCAGGAAGGGATCTCGTGTTTGGCTGAAAGGTGGGTGCTTTTTTTAATGAACAGGAACCTTACATGTTCTTTAAAAGCTCCTGTAAAGCAGGATGAGACGCAGTTACCAAAATAAACATTTGAAATCTGCAGAAGGTATCAACAGGTATGGTTAACATAGAGGGAAAGCAGACTCATAGTCTCCTGAAGTACCAAAGATGTGCCAATACACAAAGTCAGGGTTTTAAGCTCCTGAAAAGCAGAGATAAATTCAGGTATCACTTGAATCTTCAAATTCAAGTGAGAAAGAAGTCCAGCTTGAGTGCTATAAAGGATGGGTGTTTTGTTGGGGTGAGTTTGGTTTAAACTTGAAATGCAAATATATACCAGGAGTGGTTCTGGTAAGAACGAGGTTGCAGGTGTACTGGTAACCAAAGCGGTCTTGTGTTCTCAAGAAATAATCAGGACACACACAGAAACTGTATGCCTCTCCTACGACAAGCTGCAGTCAGGGAGAGGAGAAGCAAAGGGACCAGCCCAGGCTGGATGACACTCTCGGCTATCACCGAGAGCAGCTGCAGCCCTCAGCACTGGGTCAGTGCCTGTTCGAGGTGCTGCCTACAGGCCCTGGTCTGCAGAGGAAGGAAAAAAAAAAAAAGCTGCAAACCCAAGTATTTGCTGCCCCAAATTTCTTATGCTTGAACCATGAGGTTAGTTACTCTTATTCTACTAAACAGACCACATCAGCCCCTGAATCTGCAGAGCCCGAAGCATTATGCAGAAAGGCACGCTTCTCTCCACTAAAATGCACTTCTTCCAGGGCCAAGCATTATGCCGACAGCATCAGACCCTTTCTTGGTTTCTTTCCTCATCCAAACCGACACTACAAGAGACTGAAGCTTGTGATAAACCCCATTCAACTCCAACTCGGCCTCCCATCCCCTAGCTGGTCTTTCTTTCCTGGCTTGTTGAGGTGCCCTGTCTCATCAAGACCAGGACTCGCCTTTGCACAGCTATATAAAAAAGTTGTGGCCACACAAACAGCTCCAATTTCACTTTCTGCTTTTGGCCTTTAAAATGTTCTCCCACTGATCAGATATTCTCTTCCTTCCTGCAGCTTCCCGATTGCCAATTATTCTTGGTGCCTAACGAATACGAGATTGCTAACTAGTTGCCCCCAGTGCACATGAAGAACGAGAGGACAAAGATCTGAGTTGGCAACTGGAGTGAACCCGCTTGTGAGCGGCCTTCCCAGCACAGGGTTTGCTCACCAAACACTGCTTCTGGGATAGATGCAGACTTACTCCAGCACTTTCTTACATGATGATTAGAAGCAGGAACAAACACCATCCAAGTTGTGCAGTACCTCTCGTGGGGTCGAGAAAGAATCATAGAATGGCCCTTGGAAGGCGATGAGACGGCACGGCGCTGGAGGCAGAGCCCTGCACAAAGCTGCAGGAAGATCCTCCATCGGGCAGCAACTGCCCCAACTGCTGGGAAGGAAACCTACAGGGAAAGTTCACAGACAGTCAGAGTCCTTGGATCCGATTCAGCCTCCGGGGGCCTCTCATCTGTTACCCGGATAGTTTGTTTGGTAAAGGGAGTTAAGTATAGACATTTTCAATGTTGTATATTAGATCCTGTTTTTCAGTTTTACCCTAACTATATATTAAATGCTGATCCAGAGGAAGGTGGAGATTTTCACTGCTCTTTAAGAGACCGATATGCATGTTCTATCCAAAACAATAGGTATCTACGCGTTCAAGAACTTTGAGACACTGCAACAAATTAAGCTAA